CCTTCAATATGTCCTTGTGTGTGTCAAATTTTCCAAACACTCTTATATGCCCTGGAAGTTTATTGTTTTGATCTTAATTGTCCCTTTTGTTTCTATTTTCTCTAAAAACTCGTTTTTTATCACATGTTAGGTACATGATATACTCAGCCTCGTTCTGTAGAACCTAATTTATGTTGCCTCGTGTCTCTTCTTTGTCTGCGATAAGATTGTCCAGCCTTTTATGCTATAAAAAAGGACTCATATTACATAACTATTTTCTTCGTTTCTAATGAAATTTTCCCGTTTCTCAATACTTTGTTTAGCTTTTAGAAGACATCTTTCGCTGTGCCAATATTATATGACTTCTATTAATGGGAAGTATCTTGATACTGAGTGGGGTTGGCGGAAGGTAGCATTTAAAGGAATAATAGTAATAATAATGATGATAATAATAATAATAATAGTAATAATAATAAGAAGAAGAAGAAGAAGGATGAGGAGAAGGAGGGGCTGGAGACTTAAAGACACTCACTGCCGCTCAGTCTTCAGTAATAACCACCAGAGACCTCAGGTTTACGGCCAGATCACGTTGAAAGTACGATCACCGAAGTTAAGCAAAGTCCAGCTTGGTCATTATCTAAATGCGTGACCACTTGGGCATACCAGAGACTGTAAGCTTGGATTTGCGAATGATGTAGTGGATAAAGGTTTGAAAATTGGAAATCGGAGAGGTGAGTTCCAATTCCAGTTGGGTTCGTTATATTCACTTAATGCGCAAATATCCTTGGAAAAGGTATCACACCCTCTGTTATCCCCCAGCAATGTAGGACTTGCATCAGTAAATCATTATTATCTTAATTTTCCAATTTAAAAATATATTCCGGCTTTAAATAACCTGCAAAAGGTTGATAAGCCATAAAAAACAAATAAATGAAGCCAATGTTTGTCGTGCACTGCAACTGTTCTCTTGGCAGTTCGGGAACCCTTTATAATGTCTGTTGATATTTCCTTTGACTCGTCTATAAGGCCCGAACCCCTTTTCACATAACTTTTTTTCTGCTGTCAACGGACCGATTGGGATTCATTTTATGATTTTCTTTGCGATACCCCTTCGAGTGAAATATTTAAGCTTTCTATTGAAAAATGTTTCTCTAAAATTTCTTATTTGGTGAAAGCTGTTATTGAAGCTTTTGTATTTTTTCGTATGAACCAGACAAAACCATGATCTTCTCCTTGGTACCCACCTTTATGTTCAGACACTATAGACTACAGGGATTACTTTTTCTGGCCATATTAACGTGATGGCTCAGATCACAACAGATGCCTATTGGGTACGCTTTTTATAAGTTGTTTTCCGCTGATAGGGTGACGCACCATATAACCTCTCTCTAAGTTTGGTTATCGTGTCTACTGGCGGTTCTGTAAAAGTGTTTTAAATAAAGGTAAGTCCTCAGTCCCTTCTCTTTTCAATCAATTTGAAGTGCTCTCATTTTTTGCCGATAAAGCAGAATGCTTTTTTAAACAAATTATCTTTCAAATCTACTCTCGACTCATTAGGATCCCATTTGCCTGACTTTCCACTTAGAACTGAATCTCTACTCAGTGATATGCACATAACTCCGTTCATGGTTTCCAATATCCTCTCCAAACTTAATTCCCACAATGTATGGGGACTTGATGGTCTCCCTGCAATTGTTCTTAAGAAATGTGCCCCTGAACTGACCTCTGTTCTACAATAGATGTTTTGATGTTTCTTGCTTTCTGGGTTGTTAGAGCTCCTTTTCTGTAGTTCATCTTTTTTAAGAATTCAGAGTAACAGTTTAATCCTTCGAACTATCGATCTACTAGTCTTCTACTTCTCTTTGGCAAAGTATTAGAGACTCTAGTAAACTTAGAATTTATATTCTTTCAAACAAACAATATGGCTTTCGCTTCGCTAGGCCAACCGCCGATGTGTTAATGATTATTGATAATCTGTCAAGCTTTAGATATGAATGGCGAAGCTTGGACTGTTGCTTTAGATATTTCGAAGACGTTTGACAGGGTCTGGTATGTTGGTATTCTTCGTAAGTTGAAATATTATGGCATTTCTGGCCGTTTCTTTGATTTGATTTTATAATTCTTATCAAACCGTGTAATGATAAAGTTGTCTTGAACGGTCATTCCTTTAGATCATTCTGCATTAAGGCGGGCATCTCCAGGGCTCAGGACCCATTATCTTTTCTTTTTTTTTCTTAAAATTCTTTTCTGACATCATCAATTCCAGACATGGTATCTATGATAAAACAAATTGATAATGACCTACAATCAGTTGTTAACTGGGGCAAGAAGTGGATTTTTTATTTTTAAAAAGAAATGGGCCTCTATTAATCATTTTAAAGAACCTTTTTTGCCTTCCATCAGTATGGCTGATGCTAACCTCCAGAAGAAAAACTCACTACGACTTTTTTGTCACATGTTTTTCCACTGACATGAAATGGAAGGATAATATTGAATTATTTGCTAAGCTTACTGCTCATCAGAATGTATCTTATGTAGATAAATATATTTAAAAACTCACATGTGAAATTCTAATATCATAAAGGCGTTAACAAAAGAGGTCACCATTTTTAACATTATAAACCAATATTAAAAATAAGATTGTACAATGTATAAAGCGAGGGACGGTTTTCTGTTCTTATTAAAGTAATAAAATCGTCCCTCCAAGAATTATTACATATTAATATAACTGGGAAATATATATCTTAATTATCACACATGAAAAACTTCTAATAATAAGGAGAAAAATAGGTAATCATTTTTGACAGTATGAATAAACTTGTGAGAAGCGGCTTGCTAATTTAACATATCTAAAACGAAATTCCTTATTAATCATATTAAAGAACTTTTTGCCTTTCATCAGTATGGCTGATGCTAACTTCCAAGAGAGCAACTCACTGTCCTTTTCACCGACATAAAATGGGATGATTATATTTAATCAATTGTTAAGTCTGCTGCTAGGAAAGTCGTTTCTCTATGTCTTGCTAGATGATTTTTCTCGACAGAATCTATCTTACATATTTATAAGTCTACCATTCGTCCTCGCATCGAATATTGCTGCCATATCATTGTTTGGTGGTCCTGTTTTATTTCTACGGATTATTAACGAAGAATCTGTCCGGGCCTGGCATCTCGGCTTTAGTCACATTCCAACCGCTGTAACTTAGCTTCTCTTCGACATTTCTATAAATATTTTCACAGTAATTGTTTTGAAGAGTTCAGCGCAGTACTCGATTGGAAGTTAAGTCTCATAATTCACTGTTGAAATTATTAGTTGTAACAAGGAGTACTATGCTAATATTTTCTCCTTCTGCACGTATCACTTACGGAACTCTTTTCTTGATTCTTGCTTTCTTGTCAATTATGATAATTAAAATTTAAATGCAATGTCAACATGTCATATATATATATATATATATATATATATATATATATATATATATATATATATATATATAATTCATCATTGCAATCCAGTAGTCCAGTTGGTGTGTCGTATCTTCACATTTTTTTACCTTACCCAAATCAACACTATCTTGCTTATCTTACACCCAGGCATCCCTGGGATTGTTTCGTTGATGAGAGTGTTAGTATTTTTCTTTTCTTTTGTCCAGAACAATTTAAGAAAGCATTCTGCATGTCCCACTGATTTCTTTGTACTCGCATTTGCTGTAACGTTTCTGCAGAACTTGTTAAATTCTCTTATACAAAGAGCCTCCTATTTACAAGATTTATCTCTTTTAGCAGCATACTGATTGGGATGTGCTTCGTGTTTTTCTTCCTATTGAGAAGTGGGCCACTGGGGTTTCGTCTGGGGTTAAGACTGGCATTGACGATTTTTTATCTTCTCGGAAATAACAGGTGAAACCACAACTATTCAGCTGCGATCGGCAGCAGGAATCACTTTTTCCGGCTATACCAGTATGTCAATTTCGATCACAACAGATGCCAATTTGTGTAAGTGCGTATTAATTGTAAACCAGTCCTCAAAGTGGCAAAGTCATTTTTTGCTGAGCTGATAGAATGAGGCACCGTATAGACTCTAACAACTTTGGTTCTCGTGGGTACTGACGGTTTTGTAATAGTGGGTTATATAATAGTACGTCCTCTATCCCTCCTCTCAGTTTGAAGTGTTAACATCATCTGCTGATAAAGCAGAATTTTTTTACACGTAATTTCTCTTCTACGTCTACTCTTGACTGGTTTGGGGTATCTTTGCCTGATTTTCCCCCTAGGACTGAGTCCCTGTTGAGTGATATACATATAAATTCCTTCCGTGGTTTCTATATTATCTCTACACTGGATACCCACAAAGCATATGGACTTGATGGTATCCCTGCAATAGTCCTTAACAAATCTGTTCCTGTGTCAGTTTCTGTCCTTTTTAAACTCTACTAATTGCCTGGCTGATTCTTGCTTTCCGGTCCGTTGGATACCTTCTTCTGTAGTTCTAGTCTTTAAAAACAATTATCTGCCTATTAGCATTCTACCTCTTTCTGGCAAAATACTAGACGCCCTAATCAACTCTAAATTGGTCATACATCACCCATCGCAGTGTCTTCTTTCAGATAAGCGGTAGGGTTTCCGCATTTCTAGGTCAACTGTTAATATTTTAACAATTATTGCTGAAGAGTCTATCAAGCTTTGAAAGAAGACTGGTGAAGCTTGGGCCGTTGATTTGGCAAGATTCTTGGGATAAATTACAGAAGTAGGGTACCCAAGCCTACTCGGATAACGTTCTTGCTTGCCGCGGGGTTCCCACAGACGCAGAGACAAGAACGACCAGAAGCCGCCGGTTGCCGATGCAGACGCTCCTTGGATTTTCACCAGAGCCCTTGTCAGCCGGCGTGTGTGTCAGACCTGTCCGCCTTGGGTGGCCCTACCAGGAACGAAGTTCCGGGCGGCATAGCTCTGACACTACCGTTTACACCCCCCCCCCCCACCGACTGTGAGGTAAGGGTTGGACTTTGGGGGCTTACAGTACCAGGTGTTCCCCCATCTAAGTACTGACCTGGCTCTACGATGCTTAACTTCGGTGATCGAACGAGAACCGGTGTTTTCAGCGTTATTTGACCGTAAGCTAGAATCTGTCTTACATATTTATAAGTCTGCCATTCGTCTACGCATTAAATATTGCTGTCACATCTAGCCTGGTGTTTTTACTGTATATTTAGAGATTCTTGATAAAATCCAAAGAAGAATTTGTAATGTTATTGGTCGTGACCTGGCATCTCGGCTTCAGTCACTTTCCAAGCACCGTAACGTAGCTTCCCGGTACCTTTTTGTATAAATACTTTTAGTGTAATTGTTTTGAAGAGCTTTCCTCCTTGTTATATCGACTTTACGAATTTAAACACAGTGCTAGATTGGCACTTAGGTCTCATCAAATTACAGTTAAAATTGTCAGAATTAACCGTACGTTCTCTGCTGAAAGCTTCTTCTCTCGCACTTCACCCCTGTGGAACTCTTCCGGCTTTCATTTGCAAAAATGTAAATACAATGTCTATCGTTATCTTCTGTCTTCTTCCTGTTCTTTTATTGTTTTCTCTTCTTAATCATGTTTTTATTTTTTTCACGTGCTTTCACACTCAGTAATCTCTTGCGTCTTAGTGGCTTTGGGTGAAATAATTAATAGTACAAAGGACGACAAAGTATTTGAATTTAACTCATTTTCCTCGAAAAATAACCACTGATATTATAGCCGTTAATTGGCTCTGAGTTTATGCTTTTAATTGGTTGGGACACTTGAATCTGGCCATGACTGTCGTCTTATTGACATTATACGGACTGATTCGCTTCTGCAGTTATAAAACAGATTCTTCGCGTCACTTCCGCCGATTAGCTTAGTAATTGTAATGGTAACATTAGCCGTTTCCCTATAAGGAAACATTCGGAATTCTTTGACCTATCAACCAGCTATTCTGTTGCTTGAAAATTATAATTTTTTTCTCTTAAAACATTTTTCAGGAAAATAGGTTTTTCAAGTCTAGTAGCTGCTCTTTCCAGTATTGATGGTAGGTTTCCTCCCTAACTTTTTGTTTGAAGTAGTGTGGAATGTCAATATATTGATTATGGTATTATTTTCTCGTTGAGCTACATTTCATGCCATGTTAGTTGCTACAACTTCTGTTGATGAAAGTCCTCAAGCGATGGGTTTTCTTTTATTTCGTACAGTTCTTTGTTTGTGATTATGTAGCGCCAGTCATTAATGTCGGAAGAAAGATCCCCAGGCTCCATTCGCTCAAAGCCATTTTTAACCATTGATCTTAGAAAGCTATTGTATTCTGTTTAAAAACAAGACCTCGTCAGATCAAGACTTTCATATTGATGTATATCTAACATACAGGGTGTCCATAAAGTTCGGGTGCACTTTAAAAAATTTGTAACTTTATTTGTATTTGCGATAAGAATAATTTGCAAAAAGGATTAGAAAGAAGTAAATCTATATTTTTTTGGTGTTCTTCATGATGTTGGCAATAATGGCTCTCAACAACTTCCTCTTCTTTGTAACTCCTACTATTTTGTTTTTTCGGTATCTCTCCTAAACCTTGTTCTGTCATCTATTTACTCAAGCTAGTTTGGTAGGTCACGCGTTACTTTCTTATATCACTCTTGCTTTTAATCTGTCCTGTGAGTATCACATTTTCCAAGCCCTCTTTCTTCATTTTCTGCCCTAGAAATTTCAGCTTTCTCTTCTTGATGTTAAGTATAACTGTCGTTTTAGTTTTCATTTTCTCTAAAACGTCGTTTCCCACATGCTCGGTCTATTGTATTCTCAGCATCCTTCTGTTGAACAAGTTTTCTGTTGCTTCATGTTTCTTCTTCATCTGTGAGGAGATTGTTCGGAATCTACTGCCATATGTGAGATCTGATATTACCTAAGAGTTCAGTACTTTTTTCTTTGTTTCTAAGGAAATGTTCCAATTGGTTGGTTGGTTGATTTTGTTTAGCGGTGCATCAAGCTCTATGTGTTATTTTATGCCGAAACCTAAATATTTTGAATACAATTTTGTGGATTCAACTAAGCTCACTGCAGTTGTATTGTCTTGTATTCAATTACAGATAAAATACATTGTTGGTCATTTTGCTATAAAATGTATTGTTGATAAGTCTACTATAAAATTGTATTTCGTTGTGTATTTTAAAGATTTTACTATAAATATGTATTGTTGCTAATTCCACCACAAATATGCATTGTTGGTAACCCCACTATAAACATTAATAATTTTACTATAAATATCCATTGTTGGTAATTTTACTATATAAAAATGTTTGCTGGTATTTTTACAATAAAAATGTATTTTTATACTTTCATAGTGTTTCGTTCTTCTTTGGGGGTTCACTATTTACCCATAGTTGGGTCCCTAACAGTTGCTGCCACCTCAGATCAGGGTAGACCTGAGAACAACAGCAATTAAGAGGTGGTTCTACGCTCCTCAAAAACGTCCTTGCTGCCGGATGTGGTTCATCGTCATACCCAGGACTATTCCAAATGGTCTACTTCATAATGATGGAAGGGGTGATGAAGATGGCAAAGTTGTTCGCCTCTTTCTTTAATCTCGACGACAGAGACGGGAATAAGAAAAGACAAACCAAAAAGTCTAAGAGTTTGTCTGGCATGCGGCTAACTATTATTTGAAATCCAACGGGAGGTTCCTTATATTATGTATTCTGAAAAAAAAAGATATGAATCGTCCCGGTTATTTTGATTAATTCCAGAATTCCCTTATTAGGTAAGATCATTAATCTCATCCGAATCCATTCTGGATTATTTCCCGCCTTTCTTAATCATATCACCTCATTTACAAATGGTTCAAACAATCTCTCTTATTACCAAATATAGTCATTTACATGACTTCTTTTCGATTGTCTTTTGCCCTATATTTGGGAAGAAATTGGGTCATTTACAAACCCTTCCACAAGTTCCACTTCTTTTACTTATCTATGTTTTTATTTATAGGTTTGTGTCTATCTCGTCTACTTATTTTTTTAGCTTAATTCCTGTTAAGTGAAGAAAAAAAAACAAATGTCTGATATTTTTTTAAGTTGTCCCAAAGTACCACAGAACTAGATAACGGAAGAAGCTTTTTATTTTAAATTAGCTGAATATACTGAATTCAGACAGTCCTATAAATGCAAACCTATCACTCTCTCCAGACCATCATCTACATCCCACTATTTTCAACAGCCATGATATATCATTTAAAGAATTTGAGAACAATGACATATTCAATCAAGAAACTTTCTTCTCATGAAAATCTATTCATGACCTGACAATTTTAGATATATGGTGTTGCAGATTTATAAAGTTGTTTCATACTATTCATCATATTCTTTGCTTTCAAGCATCTATAAATGCAAACCTACCACTCTCTCTAGATCATCAACTACTTCCCACACTGACTATAATAAAAGATACCCTTGGTGCTGAAGCAGTCCAGTCACATTCCTTTGGACAATTTTAGTAGAAGACTACATTTTGTTAGGAGAAATTCTAAATAGAAATAAAGTCCTGGGGAACATTTGCAAAATATAGACACAAGGAATTGTAACCTGTAAAGATTCCTAATCAGAATACTTTGGAATGAGATAGAAAACAAAGTAAATGATTGTCTGAGAAAGAATATGAAGTTGTGGAGAAAACTATTTGAAGTATATAGAACAAGGGTTTTTCCCTTTTTGGAAATCAAACTTTCAACTTCCAAATGTTAAAAGCTAAAAGAAGACAGAACTAGATATAACAGAAGTTGTAAATTAACTGAATATATCGAACTGAAGATGTTCTTTTGACAATTGTTTCTGGGATCAATACTTAGTGAAAGGATATAAAAAGAAAAGAAACTGTATCAACTGAGGTTATCTAACCTTTATTCCATTTTATATTTCAATCCATGTTTTCACCTTAAAGTCTTTTTCATGTTTTTAACCCTTCCAAATCTCCAATTTCTATATGGAGAAATCCTAATTTCATACTAATTCATACTAATTCATACTAATTTCATACTATCAGAGTCAAAATTTGCTTCTTTCTTCATATTCGTCTACTTAATCAAGATGGCGACGAGAATGGGCATGGAAGGTGATTGAATTTTCTTTACATTTTTGACACCCAAGACAGAGTTGAAACAACAGAATCAAACAACCAACATCTTTACATATGGTTAACAACTGCTTAAGATCACAAATAAGACTCATTATATTAGCTCTTCAGACAATGACATGACTTACATGTATCTTTCAGATTAGATTATTAATTCCGGAATTTTCTTAATCCGAAACCCTTCTGGATTAATTCCCACTCCTCAATTATATGATCTTATTTACTGGTTACATTCAGTGCCTCTAAAACCAAACTGGTAACATTCCCTCACCGCCGATCTGACCCCGCCAGTCAGGTTGAACGGATGTCCCCTCGTGAAGGCACCGTACCTTGAGAGAATATTGGGCCTCAGACTCACACCTCACCTCAAGTGGAACTCATGCATATGATCCATCGCTAAAGATGCGGGTAAAATTATTAGTTCCCTGTGCCGATCCAGTAAGTACCTGGCTCCTCATACTATCCTCAGATCAGGCCTAAAATGAAGTACTGTTGTTTATTTACTGCCTTGCATGGAGTAAAACGGAATATCTATCTATCTATCTATCTCTCTCTCTCTCTCTCTCTCTCTCTATATATATATATATATATATATATATATATATATATATATATAGGGTAGGCATCCCCAGAGGTCACTTCTTGTATCAACGCTCTTTCTCTTTCACCTCTACAACTCTTGACGATCAGAGATTGGGAGCTGACTTCCCTTCCGATCTAGCACTAACTTCCCAATGGGGAAAAAACTGGCTGGTTACATTCAATGCCTCTAAAGTCAAACTGGCTACAATCCATCACCGACGATTAGATCCGGAACTACCGCCAGTCACGATGAACGGATTTCCCCTCGAGCAGGCTCCGTGCCTTGATAGGATATTGGGCTTCAAACTCTCACCCGACCCTAAGTGGAACACGTACATACGCTCCATCGGTAAAGATGCAGGTAAAATGGTCGGCTACCTGTACCGCTCCATTACGT